TTACACTGGAATGAGTAGAGGTGTGGGAATATCAGGTTTCTGCAACTGTCTTCCACCCAACAGCTTTGCATCTCCTGCCAAAGACAGAGAGGAGGGGGAGAAGCCATCTGTTGAGGGCTAGTTGAAGGTGGTGTCCCAACATCTGATAAGTACTGCATCAGTTATCCAAATCATTTCTCTCTCACATCCCTAATCTGAGATAATTTAGCACTAACCAGAGTGCAGAAACTGCATTTATGAGATGTGGGATGTCCAGTGATTTTGCCATTAAGAGTTCTTAATTCCAGTTAATAGAGTTTAATATTTTCCTCAGTCCTTCCCACTATTTTCTTTTTGTGTCTTTTCCTGTATCAAGTTTGTTTTTGCGTCTGAGTTTCCCAGTTACTGTTACCTTCTTCCTGTTTTACTTCGATAGTTAGTTGCCGTCTGTGTCTTGTATCCAGTTTTACTTCCTCCCCTGTGGTTTTATTGATTGTGCACCTGTGTCTCATTTCCTCCCAGCTGTGTCTAATTCTTTTGATTAGCCCTCAGTGTGGGAGTATAAATGGTGTTGTCTTCCCTTTGTCTTTTGTTACAGCAACTGTTTGTGTTCTTTCTCTGTTTCCTTGTGTAACTTCTGTTGGATTTCTTTGGCTTTATAGACTTTCTCTTGGACTTGGACACACATATCTGCTTGCCAGTGCTGAGTAATGAATTAATAAACACACGCAGAGAGTCGAGAGGTGCAGTTCAGTGACTCAGAGTAGCGGATGAGGCCTAGCAGACAGCGATGGGTTACAACTACCTGCATGTGGACACCTGCTAAACGGGGCAGATCTCTAAATACAGTTTGGATAATGTACTTTGGGGTCTGTATCATTTTCATAAAGGAATGAACCTTCCACAGAGGTGAAATGTGTATCTTGCAGCAGGCTCTAAACACGTTTGTTCTGCTGTAAGTTTGGACACGTTAGCATGAGACTCATTTTTGGAGCCTCCAATGGCCGTTGGAGGAACTACACATTTGGCAGCACTAGCTTCACTTTCAGCCCTGGAGGTTGCTGCTTGGTCTGAACTAATTTTAGCTGTTAAGCTTTACTGTTGTACTCTGAGCACCGACTACCAAGTGTGTCTACATTTTGTGATTGAGTCACTGCGCTTTTGTTCTCCGATTAAAAAATAAATCTGATATTATAGCAGGCCTGATCTGTAAAGACTGAAGTTTGGAGGAATTAAAAAAAAAAATTAAAGCTTAGTTTGGAGTTGATTGCTTCTGTAACACAATTGTCATCAAACTGAAACTCTTTCCAGAGGAACAAATCTAATCTCGACAATCACACAATCAGATCGTTTCACATCTTTTTTCTTCATTTAGGAAACAAATCAAATTTTATGAGTAAAGACAACTGAACAAAACTGGGACAAAAGAGAATCTTATGACTGGAAAAAGGGTCGGCTGTTATTGCCCACTGCCCCCAGCTGAACACTGGTTTTACTGGGCAGCTCCCAGTTGTGATTGTGTGTATTTGTTTGCATGTCGAGTTCACATTTTCACCAAACGGCTGGACCGAATAAGTCACGCTGAAATGTGGGACAGATGTTGTTGCACCATCACTGTAACACAGTTACTGTACAGTAAATCCCAGCAGGTATTGCAGCAGATGACCAGCAGTGCTCAGCCTGGTAAGATACAGCGTCTCTTTGCCCCACATACAAACTCCCACCACCTCCCCCTTTACTGCATATTGTGTTTGCAGAAGGCTTCACATAATTTAAAGTGACAAGCCCCTGTCTCGACATTCCCTTCGTCTCTCCTGATCCCCCCACCCCCACTGCCTCTGTTTTATAACCTTCTTTTCTTTCCTGCCATGGATACACACCGGTATGTTGCTGAAGAATTACATCTGTGACCACCTCGGACGCTTTTCTTTCAGACTGTACAGCTACAAATATTTCTGTTGCCAGGCTGAATCCACAGACTGGCAACATTTCGGATTCACAGGCGCGAATGCAGACGAGTCATGGTGATGCACACCCCGACCCCGACCATTTCCAGAATCGTGGAACTTTGAACACCATGGGAACTTTCTGAGTAGTGTTTACTCAGCATGGCACTATCATTATGCAGCTTTAGATGGATTTCTAATAAAATAAGCATAAATTATACATGCAAGGGCATCTGTAACTTCAAGCAGTATGACAGTTTCTTAACTTTGAGTTTATAAAGTCAAAAGTCTTGCTTTAGTGCATCTGTGCTGCTCGGCAGGTCAATAAGAGGACCCGACGGGACAGATCAATAATGCACAGAGGCTCCGGCCGTCGAACGCTACACTACAGGGCCTGTAATTTACAGTTTGTTTGTAGTCCACCGCCGGTACATTATGTGCCTGTGTGTCTCGATGCATCACTCCCACTCCCATTAGCTGCAGAATAAAGTCAGGGGATGTGGCTGAAAACTCAACAGATAACCTCTGATCAGATTGAAGCTCTGTATTTGATTCAAATACCACGGGGTCAGCGTCCTTGCTGTGTTTTATCAGATCCTCCTGCAGTGCTGCTGCTGTTTACTTTCTTCCTCTCTCTCTCTCTTTAGAGGGTTTAAACACTTTCATCATGCACAGCACAGAGCTGCTATCCCTTAAAAGTGGATACGAGCACCAAAATCTGAGAGTTTACCCTGATGCCATTCATTAGAAAAATCCCATCAGCAGCTTGACTTTTCTTGAATTGTCAAAATAAGCATCGAGCAGCTATTTTACTGCAGAATTTTGACATTTCTGAAGTTTCACTGATGATCTCTCTATTTCTGACCATGACTAAGTCAAATTTATTCCCCAGAGCTTCCTTTACTTATTTCTTTTAATGAAAATCATCACAAACCTGCAATGGATCCATCCTGGGGATGAACCTCCCACCTCAACCCTTCACCATCAGCTGCTCTTTGTTATGCAGTATGGCCCTCGAAGAACAGCAGCTATCTAAGCGAAGCCTTTCAGTTGAAGAATTTTGCCAACAAGTGGATTCTTTTATTGATTAACTTCACTTTTATAACTGAAACCTGATTGTCAGTGCTGTGCTCTCTGTTAAGGTGGCAGAGCAGATATTCCCTCCATCCTCTTTCATGTGATTGATGATTTTCTTTGGCACAAAAAAAGGCCAAGACCTCAAAGCCAAAAGCTAAAAATGAAATACTCTGACGGGGTTTGCAGTAAAGGTTGAAATTAGAAACAATTTCCACAAATGAACCTTTTTATTTATATACTGTGCAGGAGAGTGAAATATTTCTGCTTCATCCTCTTACCAAACATTTCAAAACATGTGGTCTGGGTCATAAACTCAATGAGCACATTAGTAAGTCAGGTGTATCCTGTTCCTTATCCTCTCCATGCACATTATTTTCCTTTCTGTGTCTCCTTATAACTTGTGCATAAATAATGAAACTAAGCCTGTTCACTCATGCAAACAGCGCGCCGACTGTAACGGATCACCTCCACGAGGCCAGCCGTGCTTTATGCGTCAGCGGTCACAAGGGGGCACTAAACTGTTCCCCATGCACGGAGACTTCATTCCCATTCATGTCACTGTTTCCTTGACAGACTTTGACACGTGTGTGAGGCAGCGCTGCTGTCATGTGATAGCGAGAGATTTTGCTGTTCGACAGTTTTTTCTTTCGCCTCTGGGTTCCTGGGATAGTTGCAGTTGTTGGAATAGACAGATGTTCCCACTGTTTTCACACGGGGTATTTTGCCTGAGGTGTGTTTGTGTAACAGAACGACAGCAGTGTGTGTGTGTGTGTGTGTGTGTGCGTGTGTGTGTGTGTGTGTGTGTGTGTGTGCGTGTGTGTGTGTGTATGTGTGTGTGTGTGTGTGCGCGTGTGTATAGGGGGAGAGAACAGAGTGTTTTGTTGTGTACTGTGCAGGTTGCTGAAGGACAAAGTGAGTTTTTATGGCTGTTACTGCAGTATCATCGTTGGCCCTCACATTAACACTCACGGCTGACAAGCCTCAAGGTCCAAACTATTAACTACAGCATGTTTAGACAGTTGGATCAGTGATATCAGAGATAACCACCTCATTCACTCACAGCCCAATGAGCAGATTAAAGCACATCTGCCTGTCCATTCTTTTACCAGCTGACTATAAACAGCATGTACAGTACATGCTACTGGAGTCTTATAATGCTCATGGAATGAAAGCTCGAATGGCGGAATAACAAATTACATTTATTACATTTAATTTTTATTACATTAAAATCAAAAATCTCTTTCATAAGAGTGTACTTTCCAAGAATCATGAGCAATAACAATTAAACACAGAAATGGCTTTAAATTTGTGGAGTTCTTACTGATCTGCTGTTTGGGACAGATGGAAAGAATCTTAAGACCTAAAACAATAACTTCCCACACTTTTTTGATGAATGCAATTCAGTAAGCGAGACAAGAATAACCTTATGAATGATAACATACAGGTGGTTGCGTGCAACACATGACACAATGGACATAATGCATACTTACTGCTATTTTACTGCTAAATCTTTTGCATTGTTTTTAAGCAGCTATTAACCTCAGAGTTCAAATATCTGTTCGGGTGTAAAGGGATGAATCCGTGCCAGTTCATCCGATGGCTCCCACCTGGCCATCACAGACTTGGTTGGGAAAGATGGCCAGAATAAAACAAAGATTCAGGCTCCTGCTGTCATTCCCCCCAAAATGTTAAAATCCCATTAGCTTTACTTATCAACTAATCAAGAACTAATGATTTTTTAGGTAAATCTGTGATGGTCAGGTGGGAAATGTTTTAAAATGTTGATGAACTGAGATGGAATGACTCCAATTTCAAGTGAGTTTCTCTCTCGTGCAGCTGCTTTTCCTGTGGTATCGTGTGTACTGGTGCACATGAGCCTGAAAATCATGCCACTGTTTTCAGATTTCATCGTAAGACATGATCTTGTTACCAAAGACATTTTTCACTGTCTCACCATTCACTCTTTAAATTCCCCTCCCTTCCATCTTCTGGCTGCAGGTCGAGAGAAGAGAAAGGGTCCCATGATCTCTGCCGGCGATGCCGAGTTCCCCCGGGATTACCACACCCTGGCTGCCACTGGTGGCCGCGGGGCCCGACGGTTCCCCGACAACAGCAACGGGGGCTTCACGTCGTCCTCGCTGGACCGCCGGCACAACTCTGTGGCCGCCAAGAGCCTGGAGGCCCTGAACAGCATCCACAAGGCTGACATAGAGCGTCAGCGAGACGCCATCATGGACCTCCAGAAAAACAAGTTCTCCAACAGCCCCAGCAGCATGTCACAGGGCTCCCCCGCTGCGGGCCGACAGGTACTTTCACACTTTCTGCTCTGATGTGAACAAACCAAAAAGAAACAATGAGCGGACGAATACTTCCCTTTGTGACATGAGTAATTATAACCGCAGCAGTGGTGGTCTTGGCACTTTAATCCTTGTTAATTCTACTTATGATGAGCTAAATCTCTCGCATTCACTCCCAATTTCCATAAAAATAGAAGGTGGGATTATTTTCCTGTTTCCATCAATCCTCCTGAGGACGATTGGTGCAGGATACACCACCTTCATCGTGACTCATACTGTTTATCTTAGCAGGCGGAAAGAAGTTGTTTCTAATCAGTCAACTGCAGTTTATGTGGTTTCTTTTATAGTTTGTCAGGAAATCGAGCGAACAGTCCTGCGAGAATACCTACAGAAGGCAGCATGCATACGCAAAATGATGAAGGGAACTCAAATGGCAGGTTTTTTAAGTCACAGTAGACACTTTGCTTTCACTGTGAGCTTCTGTCTTGTCACTGATGACAACAGCTGAGGTTATTGGAGTTAACTAAAATGAAAATAAACCAGGCGTGAAAAAAACACATTATAAGAATAAAAACTAGAATTCTGAAATCAACAAAAACCACCTGAAACCAGATTTTACTGCCCTGTCACTTTAATAAAAGCCCCTTATCAATCCAACTCAATTCAACAACTTAAACATGACTCGATTTTTTAAAACTTCGATCATCCAATCTACCAATCGTTTTTACTCAGAGATCGTGTGTTTAAATTCAGAAGACAGAAATTCGATATTTATTTTTACCTTCTCCTGTATAAAACTATACAAAGGGTCAGTTAAGGTTTTCTCTGCAGCCTCGGTGGGGGACTAATTAAATCGACACCGTATACTTCACCTAGTATGCTCAAACCCACCTCCTCCGGCTCCTTTCGATTTTGTGTAGCAGCTCTACTCCGAGCCTCTCCTGAAGGAGCTGCTCACCCTGTCTCTAAGGGAGAGCCCAGACAGCCTTTGGAGGAAGCTCATTTCTGCCACGATCCTACTCTTTTGGCACGCACAGCTTGTGGCCATAGATGAGGGCAGGAACATGGCTGTTTGTGTTTCACAACTTCCTCTCATTACCACAGCAGACTGATACAGCATCCACACCACTGCAGAAGCTGTGCAAATACATCTGTCAGTGTCCCGCTCCACTCACTTCTCACTTGTAAACCAGAGATACTCCAGGCAGGAGAGGGCAATCCAGCCCTTTCCAGTGGAGAATCACAGCTCAGACTCAGAGGGGCTAATTCTCTTTCCATGTGCTTCACACTTGGCTGCTCCAAATCGCCCCAGCGCAAGCTAGAGGTCACGTTTGATGAAGTCAGGAGGCAAGGATCGTCTGCAAAAAGAAAAGAGGATGATATCCTCTGCCTCTGCTCCCAGCAAATGTGTCCGGTATCGCTGACAGGGCAGCATGTCACAATTCAAATCATAAATATATCCATACATATCCATATCATATGAAAGGAAATATATAAGACATTGGAATAAAATTAGTTTGACAGTGACTTTCATCCATGTAGTCAGCTCCTACGCGAACAGATCAGAAAGAGTAAATGAATTCAGTACAAAAAGCAAAATAATTGGTGGTCATAGGGAACAAAAATACACTATCTGTTAAAGTTAGTGATGCTTTTCTGGTCCTGTGCAACATTTTAATTGGTCAACAGATTTCTAGGATTGAACTAGGACTGATTCAGTGGTTTTAGAACCTCCCAGTAAGGACTTGTTTCCTTATGAAGTCCTAATTTGATCAATAAAAGCTCATATCGTGTATGGATTATGACACAGAGCCACATCCACAGTTTTATACAAATCTAGAGGGGGGTGCATCCTCGGGGGAGGTATGAGTGCTCTCCAAGGGCTGTCGGCTTCTACATGTGAACATTTTCTTCCTGAGAGATAATAGCAGCACATCAGCGGGCCTGCAAACCCAAACAAGAGCATTATGTGGCGAGATGCCTCTGGGGCTTTAGACACACGGATGCAGTGGAGGCATGTTTACGACCTGCTCGCTGGGCCAGAAATGGCCACCTTCTCAGCGGTTATTACCTGAAAAACGTCAGCAATAGAATATGGAGAAAAGAATTGAAGTGAGACAGCGAGCGAATGTCAAAATGTGAGACACCTCCCTTCATCAAATCTCCTCCCTCCCTTTGCTCTGTCTTTTTTTTTCTTTGCTTCATATTCTCAGCTTCACTCTGCCATCCATCAACGCATGCTCTCATTTGATACCTGTGACAGATGGTCTGCTGCAGCTCTTCTCTGTTCGGCTTTAGGGAATAACATTCAGCCATAGGGGCTTATTTTCAGTCTTTCTCAGAAGGAGATGATGTCATATCTAAAATGCGGGGCTGGAGCAAACAGCACCTGCCGGGGCTACAAAAATAAAGAAAAACCGCCGTTCCTCTAATGGCCACTTGAGTCTGGTTTCAAAAACGAGTCAATCCCGACAGACTTAAAATGTTAAAATGTACAACTTTACAGTGGAAATAGACATTTTCAAAACCCAGTGTGTCATGTCACGTTGCTATGTCCATTTTTCATAGTCTGTAGGGTCATTTGTGTCATGAATAGATTCATTTATCAGTTTTCTGATTTTTACCCCTGGTGGCTGGAACATGTACACTATCTATAGAGACCAAACATACTTTTAGGGATGTAAAGTTGAAAATTTTAACTTGGGGTTTATTTTGGTTTTCCAGAAAACCTCTGCTGGCCATTAGAGGAACTACAGTTTATTTCACTTCCATCTTGACTTTTTTTGCATTTATCTTTATTAGCACCCAAGGTTTCTCTAAGTTATAAAAGCAATAGATCCGATAAATTTAGTCCTTTGTCAGGACACATCGTCATGTAAACTTTAAAAAGATCCTTCTGTACTCAATCCTGGTGCCAACCAGTGTGATGCTGTACCTTATTAGTGAAGGAAGAAGCCTGAATGACTCATACGAATGGTCAGCTGAGCTGACCTGGATCTGTTGCCTGAGAGAAAGGGACTAAAATGTCTCTGGGTTTCATGAGAGGCTTTTCCAGGGTCACAGAACTGGACTTGGCCTAACTTTGGTTTTCTGTGCAGGAGAAATGAGGGCAAATCCAGGTAGGGTGCAAGCATGCCATCCAACTCACTGCAAGCCGAGTCGCTCTGACCGGCTGTTGTTTAAAGAAAGCTCCAACATATAAAGGAGGGCCAGAATCCAAAGTGCTTGTTGAACCCCCAAGTTAAGGTCAGGCTGTCCTCATTCTTATGGGGGAAAAATGTGCAGATTTGTCAAAGGCTCTAGTGTGTCCTAGTTATACAGAAGACATTCCTGCACCGAGTTCTGGAATTACTGAGATAGTGCTGTCAGTTTCAACACATTATTTTTCTGAGGCAAACGGGTGCATTTTACCCCAAACAGGATTATTATATAGGCCAAAGTCTGCATTTGGAGCTTTGCAGGCTGGTGGTGACATCAGTTGCAGGTTTGTCTGTTAGGTTCCCATCCCATCAGAACACTTACTTTCCACATTGTTTGGCATTTCTTTCACTTGCCAATTTTAGTTTTTCTTTCACTTCTTTTTAGTGCTTTAGAGACTAAAACTCGGTTAGAATTGGAAAAACATTGTGGTTTTTATAAAAACCTTCAGGAGAGAAATGAAAGAGAAGACAAAAATCCCTTCACAACAATATCCCTCCTTATTAATAAATGATGGTTTGGGAATGACGATCCCACCTACCAACACTATAACCCAGTTTGTGAATGAGCCACGCCGGTGGTTGTAACAAAACAGCAAAGACCAACCTGGTTGTTGACCATCAAACATCTTTACATAGGCTTCCTTTGTCTCTGAACTTGGACTGTTATCTCTCTGCATCCAGTGTTCCCATTGGATGAAGGCACTTGGTATATAACGGCGTGATGAAAGCTGGATCTGACCATAAAACATCCTCATCTGATTACAAAAAAATGGCTAACAACTTGATATTCACAAGTTGTCGGACAATAAGCGCCGCCTGCTTTACTGTTTTATTCAAGAAGATATGAAAGTAGTGATTGAGCCCATAAACAAAAGTGTTTCCTGAGGTCAAAGATTCATAGTTTTCCCATAGACTTCTATACAGTCTGATCTCTTTTTGCAACCGGACCGATCACCGCCCTGCTAGCCATGAGAAAGAATGTGTTGTTAAGGTAATTCTGGATGGGCTTGACTTTTGAGACTCAGAAGCAATGTTCCCTCTAATTTTTCACGTGTCTTAGCGAGCACACAAACTCCCTGAGCGTCCCTTGGACCACTGTGAGCAACAGCAGACGTGTGCACTGTGGTCACGCCAGCATCCAATCCATCCAAGTTACATGGTTTATTAAAATAATCAAATTACAGCATTTACATTTATTTTTTAATTAACTGCTTTAGCCCACTTACAATGAAAAGGTAAAAAAAAACTTGTTCATGACCTGTGTAGCATGTTAACACCATTGGAAGTAAAAATAACTTGAACTCCAATTTTGAAAACACAACTTTCTTTATTTTTTATTTTTTATTTTTTTATAAAGCTCTGACTTGTATTATGAGTCTGTGGTCTGGGAGAGAGTCTGTAACTCTGCAAAATACAGTATATATTGACCAATGTTGGGCAATTAATTATATAGTTACTTCTTCAAAAATGTTATGCAAACAAAGTTTTTTGCAGCTGTTTACCTAAAAATGCAGCCAAGGCGTTTTTTTTTTAAATAAACATTTCAAACTATTTACAGAACAATCAGCTGTTCTGCATCAAATTATTTGTGCCACTCCTAAAAATAATTTCTGTCCACTATGAGATGAAGGAGAACAACAGCCTGATACCTGCAGGCCTGACAGCAGCAGATGTATCACTGCTGTAACACCTGTAACATTCAGCAGTCACCTCATGGTGTCTAACAGTTTGGTCAGGGCTGGACTGGGACAAAAAATGGGCCCGGGCATTTTGACTAGAGACCGGCCCCCCAGGTATTATAGGAAAAGC